TGTGTGTGGGGGGGAGTGTGTGGTGTGTATGTGTGTGGCTGTGGTGTGGTGTGTGTCATGTGTGTGTGTGGGTGTGGGGAGTGTGTGGTGTGTATGTGTGTGGCTGTGGTGTGTGTGTGTGGTGTGGTGTGTGTCATGTGTGTGTGTGGGTGTGGGGAGTGTGTGGTGTGTATGTGTGTGGCTGTGGTGTGTGTGTGTCTGTGTGTGTGGTGTGTGGTGTTTGTGTGTGTATGTGTGGTGTGTGTGTATGTAGTGTGTGGTGTGTGTGTGGTGTGTATGTGTGTGTCTGTGGTGTGTGTGTGTGTGTGTGTGTAGAATCCATCACTTTCTCTCATCCTTGGAAGTGCTCAGGAGAAGCTTGGGGAATTGTGGAAGGAAATGACATGAGGGGCAGGGAGATGACAGAGAAGAGAGAAAAAAACCCTTTCAGGATCCCAGGTCTCAGGGAGGAGGAGTCAGGCTCAGCTGGAATAGTGCCAACAAGCTTCTGGACATATTTTTCCAGAAAGAATATCATGTAGTTCCAAAAGCAACTTATTCCCTAGTATTTAAGGGGCTCTATAGTTAGGAAAATGGAGGACCAGGGTTGTGATTCGGTGGTAGAGTACCTGCCTCCCACGCATGAGGCTCTATAGTCAATCCTCAGTCCTAGGAAAAAGTGGGTTGACCCCGGGCCTGTGCAGAGGAGCTGTGCTGTTTTGGGGGGGGGTCCTCTCAGGGTGGGGTTAGAGGATGTTGAACTGAGAGACTAATTTTGGGGGGCTTTAGACTTCATCTTAGAGAACCTGACCTAAGGTTAAACTTAAGCTAACTAACAAGTCAGTGTCTAATACCAGTTTCTAGGTTACCCTCCCAACAAATCTAGTATCTAGCACCAGCTTCCAGGTTACCTCCCAACAAATCTACACCCTCAGGTTACAAGGCGGCTTCTGACACTTCACTTCCTAACAAACACCAATTTAAAAAAAATCAAAAGTTAAGTTTATAATTTGGATCCCAACACCAGCTAATTATGTTAAAGGCCATAATGACCCAATCAGATGTGTACCAGGTTAGATGACCCCTTCTTGCCTCTATAAAAACTTGCTTAAAACTAGGCTGTGTCACGGTTGGAGTGTATCCCAAGCTTGAACTTGAATAAAGAGACCCCAATACAATTACATCAAAATTGACTCCTTGATGGTCTTTTTGAGGTTCATGAACATTTCCTGACACAACAGAACCAATGAGGGATGTGAGTATGTAACAAGTTAGAAGACGAAGGAAGGGGAGCTGAAAGGGGGAGTAAATGTGATCAAGCCTGAAGCAACTGTCTTCATTAAGGACTCTTGATCCTCAGGTGTCGACGTAGGACACATAGTCTGGGAGAGGAACACCCTCCTTATGTCTTTAACTGTCAACAGTCCTATCAGCAGAAACAACTCTGGGTAAACAGAGAAGAAACTGATTGAAAAGCTGAGCTAGAGAAACACTCACAGGTTAAGAGCATGGACTCACTTGCCAAGGCCCCCTTGGGTCCTAGCATCCACCTTGGGCGGCCCACAACTGCCTGTAACTTTGGCTTCGTGGGGATCTTCTCGGACTTCTGTCGGGCACCCCGTATGTATATGCATACCCTCACATGTATACATAATTAAGAACAACACAAGTAAAATTTTTTTTTAAGTGTTGAGGGTTCACAAAAGTCCCAGGCATTCTATGGTAGTGGGCTGGAGGAAGACCCAGAACAGGGAGCCAGTTTCCATCAAGCCATGTCCCCAAACCTACTGGTCAGGATCACAGCTAGTGTGTCATTTCTGCTCCCAAGGCTGGGCTCGCTGTAGTCACTGACATTAATTTCGTACTTCTTAGTGCTTTGGACCAGCACCTTGTGTTTAAAAACTCAGAGCCTGATATGCCTGACTACTTAAGCCTAGGTCGCATACTTGCTATCTAGAGGCTAGCAGAGAGAGACCATAGAAGAAGCCCAGAATTTTTTGGCTCCTTTAAAGGGAAGTGGAGATGCAAAAAGACCTGTTCAAATGTACCACTTTCCTGCTTGGATCATACTATATATTTTTAAAAATTTAGTTTTTAAAAAAATGCGTGTGTATACATGTGTGTCTGTATGCTACGTGACACTCAAGGAGGCCCATCAAGACAAAAAAAATGGAAAAAAAAGCAAAACAAAAACATAATTGCATCAATACAATATTTGAGGAGTGATAAAATCTATAAGAAATAACCCAAATATCTATCAGCAGGCGAGTTACTAGGTTACGTCTGGCTCACCCACATGGTGTGAGTCTATTAGCTCCTCGGAGCAACATTGGACACTAATTCATTTCCTTGCCTCTGACACAGGAAGATCAACGGTTACATTAATACTGCCTCACTCTTACTCCACTGTAGCACTCCAGAAAGAACCGTCCACACAAGACTCTACCACAAAGGTGCCTATGCTCTCTGGGTGTAGTGGTGATGGGGGATGACTCCCTACGAATGCCTTAGGGTTTTATCTTAAATATCTATAGGATATCATGTATACAGCATGATTGATTGACTTTGCACATGTTTCCATGTAATCAATACTCAAGACAGGATTTGGAATATTTCCAGTACCTAGAGGCTAACCCCACACTCTTTTTCGACTCTTGGAAGCATTAGAGCTCCGAGGGGAAAGGTATCCTGGCAGTTGGGAGCCAAGGAGTAACAACCACAAAGTCACACTGCACAACAAGCCTCATACAAGACATTCATTGGGAAAGACACAGGAGCGTGGCTGCCTCTGCTTGGGAGAGAAGCGGCAAAGAACTGAATGGCAGCCAGACTGCAAATAGGGTTTCTTGGGGGCGGAGCTTTCCAGGGTGGGGATTGGTGGGATTTCAAGCCCTGAGCACGGCTTTTTACTCTGTAGGGTGGAGCTTCGTGCCTGCATCTGGAGGTGATAGGTCCAGCAGTTCTGGCTTATAGAGTGTTCTGTGGGCAGATTCTGGCGCTTGGAGGTCTTAGGGGTAGGGGGCTGGCTACTCGCTCACTTAGAGGGGCTTATAGACCCCTTGCTCCTCCACTAGCAGTAACCACTAGAGGGTTGTCAGCGCTGGAGACGTGATTCAGTGGTTAAAAGCACATGCTGCTTTTGCAGATGGCTAGAGTTTGGTTCCCTGCAGCCACACGGAGTGGCTCACAACTGCCTATAGTTCTAATTTCAGGGGATCCAATGCCCTCCTTTGGTCTCCTCAGCAACTTGCATGCGCACACTCTTACATACATACACATACACACAATTAAAATAAAATACAACCTTAAAAACTAATTGGGCAGCTTCTATTTGGAGTTTTTGTGAATGAAGGTGTGTGATCTAGGAGCTAGGATGTTTGAGAAAGCGACTTATCTCCAGAGAAGTCGGTGACGCTAAACCCTGACTCAGCCGGTAGGTGAGCTGTTAAAGTCTTTTTTTTTCTTTTTTAAATATTTATTTATTTTATTGATGAGTACACTGTAGCTGGCTTCAGACACACCAGAAGAGGGCATCAGATCTCATTACGGATGGTTGTGAGCCACCATGTGGTTGCTGGGATTTGAACTCAGGACCTCTGGAAGAGCAGTCAGTGCTCTTAACCGCTGAGCCATCTCTCCAGCCCCCGCTGTTAAAGTCTTAACAACCATTCCCCAAACAATTGAGGAGCTCAGAAGCTGGGTCTCATTAAGTCTAGGCCACCAGCAAACGGCCTCATTATCGCTTGCTTCCCATCTCTGTGACAAACAAACTCTGGGACACCCCAGGAAGAGGGGATTTCATAAAGGGCATGCACACCGGAGGCAGTACCTGGCCTTGTGGATGAATCCTGTGGGCAGCCATGAATCCCAGAAGGCTGGGGCTTTGGTGAACACTGCTCCTTGTCCTAGGAACCCCTAGAGAAGAAAACAGCAAGCAAGCTCATGAGCCTTCATTAGTACAAACTGGTATGCTCCGTATTCAGGACCCCTCAGATGGTAAGCAAGGTGAGTGCGTTAGAGGCGGGCTCTGCCTTTTAGACTTCTTAATAAAGAATGTGCATCCATAGCTAACAGCGCATTATTAATTCACAAAAGGCACACTTGGTGCTTTGAAATTCTTTATCTTGCCACTTAGACTGGGAGGGGAATATTTTCAAAATAATTATAACAGATACCAACAGGCCAGACACAAAGGATAAATCACTAGGTGGTTTGTTGTTTGTTTGTTTGTTTGTTTGTTTGTTTTGGAGAGACTGGGTAGTAATGGGAGAGGCAAGTGTAATTAGGACTGT